CCCTTCATTTGAACCATATCTTGCAAAAAATTGAATGTTGCCAAAAAAAAGTAACAGGATTTGACCTTTATTTCTCCGTTATTATATAACGCTAATGTTCATTAACCTGGTCAATAAGTGATGCTTTAAACCAAAGAGATAAATTAGGTAAAAGGTTAAATAGTAATAGGTCTACTTATAAATGTTGATTTTATTTTTCCACTAAATGAATAAAAGGCCCCACTCTATGATTTAGTGTTATGCAGCAAAGAATCATGTCAAAATTCACCTTCAGTGATCTCCATTTATTTGACTTACTAATGAGAAAACCAGAGGCAACACACTTTTGAACACATGAAACATAAATATAGGTGTTATGTACGTCGACATTAAACATGTTTTCCTCTGTCTTGTCAGTTGAAGTAGAAGAGACCAACAAGGTGGAGGATTCGTCCACCAGCCAGTCCCCGGAGGTAAAAAATGATATCATTATTACATGAATAACAGAACTGACAGTAAAATGTTGATGTTAAGTTTGGCCTTGTTATATGCATGTTGTCTGCCATTTGTCGTGAACTGCTACAATCGACTTGAACTCGAGACTCGAGGTTTGTGCTGTTGACTCAGTGTGTTTGTCTGCTCTTTATCTGACAGGAGTCTGTGGAGCTGCTGGGACAGTTCAAAGAGTTCATGGCTAAATACAATAAGGTTTACAGCAGCCAGGAGGGTAAATGACTGACACGTATACATACCTCGTGCACACCAAGCATAGCAGGTGCACAGTGTGTTGCATTCCTTTCTGCACACCTCTTTATGCACTCACAGCCCATTGTGTCCATCCTGTTTGAAAACTATAAAGCTCAATAGACAAAGCTCTTTTGTACTATTGGTTATAAGCATTTCATCAACAGTGAATAAACATTACCTAATTTGAACTAGCAAAGAATCCTAGATGAGAGATTGAATACAACATAATCAAGACAGTTAAACACAAAATAAAAAGATGTAAAAGGTGTAAACAGAACAACAGTTTTTGTCTCCATCCCTAGGAGGTATTTTCTAGCTTTATCTATCTATCTTGATTTGTTGAGTGTTGGATTAAAATATATTTGACACTGACCATCTGCCTTCTCGCTGATTGTAATTCACTGTAAGAGTATCAGCAAGTGGAGTAAAAAAAAAAAGTCTTTTTAAATGTGTGTATTTGACCTTTGACCCTGCAGAGGCAGACCGTCGCTTGCGCATCTTCCACGAGAACCTCAAGACCGCTGAGAAGCTCCAGTCTTTGGATCAAGGTTCAGCTGAATATGGAGTCACCAAGTTCAGTGACCTCACTGGTGCGTGTCTGTGTGTGCTTGTATTTCCACACACATCTAAGGAGGAAATGTAACTTCTGCTTATTGTGTGTGTTGCTTTAGCTTTTCTTTTAAAAAAATCCTCTTAAGTAACACAAATGTTTCACTGTTCTCCGTCTGTTTCTCTCTAGAGGAGGAGTTTCGCTCTACATACCTGAACCCGCTGCTGAGCCAGTGGACTCTCCAGCGACCAATGAAACCAGCCTCTCCTGCCCGTGGCCCTGCCCCTGCCAGCTGGGATTGGCGGGATCATGGAGCTGTCAGTCCCGTTAAGAACCAGGTACCAACATACAGAGTTGATTTTAGTGCAGTCATTCTCAATAGCATGCTCACTAATGAATACATTACAGCTCCTGCCTACGTCATGCTGACTGGGGTGTGTGTGTTGCTTGCAGGGTATGTGTGGATCCTGCTGGGCATTTTCTGTGACAGGCAACATTGAAGGCCAGTGGTTCCTGAAAAATGGTGCATTGCTGTCACTTTCTGAACAAGGTAACAAAGACACATGCACACACAAACAGATGACAAAATAACTCAATTACATTTCCTGCAGGAAAAAAAACAACTGTTTACAGTTACAGATAAAAGCCACGATTTGATTGGTGTATTGATTTGTCCCCTTGTAGAGCTGGTTGACTGTGATGGGCTGGACCAGGCGTGCAGAGGAGGGCTGCCATCAAATGCTTATGAAGCCATTGAGAAACTGGGTGAGAATTAAATGAGTGGAGGCCAAATGATGTGTGCAACCACACTGAGACATTTTGCTCCCAATCCAAGGAAATTACAGCTCATTTCTGACTCTGAGCAAACTGCAAAAGAGAGAGGATTATATAGACTTGCGTACATCTGTGATTTATGCTGACAAAGAGAGGAGGAGGTGGATTTTTTTTATTTTTGCATTAAAGCTGACTATGTGTGCAAACTCTTAACCTTTTAATCCTTCTCCCACATGTGTGGTTAAGGTGGTCTGGAGACAGAGACTGACTACTCTTACACAGGACAGAAGCAGAGGTGCGACTTCACCACGAGGAAAGTGGCCGCCTATATCAACAGCTCTGTGGAGCTGTCCAAAGATGAGAAGGGTGAGTGGGCAAAGCGCTGATAAATATGTCCCCAGATATTCCTTCTAAAATACACATGAAGAAAGTTTTTATTAATCAAGTAGTAGATATTGTCAGTTTGAAAGAAGAGGCTGTTAAATCAACTGATTTTGCCTTTTTTTTCCTCAGAAATTGCAGCTTGGCTTGCTGAGAATGGACCCGTCTCTGTTGCTCTGAATGCCTTTGCAATGCAGGTAACCACTATTACACTGTTACACACCTCCACAGCTGTGACAGAATCATTATAATTTGACATATTTAACACTCTGCCATCACCTGCATATACATCTAGTTATAGCACAATTATCATGTCACACTGCATCTCATTTTCACTAGAATTTAATTATCAGCATGTAACCATATTTAATTCATTTTAATTATGTTTTGTATTTCTGCAGTTCTACAGGAAGGGTGTTTCTCACCCTTTTAAGATCTTCTGCAACCCCTGGATGATCGACCACGCTGTGCTGATGGTGGGATACGGAGAACGTACGTTTTTCTTTTTTATGCTATTTTTATCCTCATCTCATTTACCCAGTTCTTACTCCCAAGAACGAAGAGAGAGACACATTTGTTTATCGTGTCAACAACATAAAGGATGATTATTTGCAGTCAAGTGCATTGTATGGGTGTTTTTGTGTTTTCAGGTAAAGGAATGCCATTCTGGGCCATCAAAAACAGCTGGGGGGAGGATTATGGAGAGCAGGTAAGACAACTAGGGCTGTAACTAACGATTGCTTTCATTGTCAATTAATGTGCAAATTATTTTCTCAATTAATTATTTAGTCTATGAAATGTCACCTTTACAGTTCAATAAAATTCAGTACCACAGCCCTGCAACATATGACGTAATTATTAAGATTTGAATATTGAGTGTTTCTGGCACTGGCAAAGAGGTTGTTTCAACATCATGTAATAAGGCCACAGTCTGGCTTTTAGGTTGCACTCTAATGTACAAAACATAATATTGTTTTGTATTATTTTGCATTAATTGGAGGGTTTGATGACACAGGATGAAAATAAAGAAAAATGAAAATTATGTTAGTTTTCCACTTTGTTGCTGCCCATTTAAAGTTGTGAGTTTGTGCATTTTTTGACTCTCTCTCTCTGTCTCTCTCTCTCTCTCTCTCTCTCTCTCTCTCTCTCTCTCTTTCTTTCTCTCTCTCTGTCTCTCTCTCACAAACAGGGTTACTACTACCTATACAGGGGGTCCAATGCATGTGGGATCAACAGGATGTGCTCATCTGCTGTAATCAATTAAACCACATACCACAGCTACCAGCTGGCCGTACCTCTACAAAACTCATATGCACATTTGATCCAGATTGCATGAAGAGTGTCAGAGTCAGACACACATAAAGTCCTGCTGAAGCTACTTCTCTGTTAAACCAGACTAGTGTTGCACCTTCATACCTACCACCTGGTGACACTTTACCATAAATGTACCAGCTCTGATAAAGCTAGTTTTGCTGAGAAATCTTATCATGGTCATTTTAAAAGTATATTTTTTGTGCACATTTCATTCCGTTAGTGCTGCAGGTCATAATGACTGCTGTATTTTAGGCAGTATTTACAGTATTTTTAACTCAACTTTCCTCACAGTAATTGAGCCCATCTTTGATAAGGTATGTGTACGAATTGTTGCTAGACTTATGTCTTGTCAGTTTTCTTCGATGTTTTGTTGCCAGTGTTTGTGCTAATATTATGTTATGTTTGAGATGGGCTTTTGAAAGTTGGGGGGGTTTCCATATAGTGGTTTGCACAATTACAACAGAACTGTAGTGCAATTGTAATAACAGTGTGAAATGAATGAAGTTTGAATAAAAAAGTGTGGAATCCTGTTCTTTGTTTATGGTATTTTTTTTTCCTAGCTAAACTGGAACAACTAAATGAAAATGTATCAACACAATTAATGTAACATTAGATTATAATATGATAAGATTATAATCTAACACACACACACACACACACACACACACACACACATATATATATATATAAATGATATAAATATAATATAATTAATATAAAGTAATATATGCATAGTATATATACTATACTGATTTACTGATAAACCACAATGGGAATTAACACACTATTACAATTACATATTGAATCATCTCAGTAAACTTAATTCATTGGCCTTAAGCAACAATTGCTGAAAACTGCTATCAATAAAGACAACCTTTTCTGTACTTCGTAGTGTGTAAGAACGGGAGCTACACTGAACACTAACGATCTTGAATGTTGCTCAAATTGAGATTAAGCGAAACTCTATTTCCCACAATGCAAAGTCACTGCCACGGAAGAACTAGACCTGTGTAGGTATAGCAGTAGGTTTTTAAGACAAAATAATCATTTAATAAGTTACTACCATAGTCAGACAACGAATAGCAATTGATGTTGAAGTGAAAAAGTTAAATTCTAATGCACATCTGAATGTAATATTAAATCCTCATTACATGGCCTTTAAGCCTGCCGATAAAATAAAAATAGACAGCGAGTTTTATTTTGAAAAGAGTGGACCAGATGACACCGGAATTGTAACATCTCCTGTTGTCAGAAAACACGGACGCATGTGGTTCGGCTACACTGATAAAACATTTCAACGTGTCAAGAGACTTGTAGCTGCTGTCGAGCTGTCCACCACAAACATTCTGCTTCCGACAGACACAGTCACTCTTCTTTCTTCTCTCAAGGTAGTTATGTAACCTGCTCACGTTGCTCAGCGCGGGGATGCGTTTTGAGATAGCAACAGTTAGCTTGTTCAGCTAACTAACTATTAATGTTTCCGTTAATTGTAAGAAAGCAGCTACTTGCTAATGTTTATAGCTAACTTAGCAAAGTAAATCAAGGGATGGTGAAGTGCTGTCATTTATCTAGCTGTCATAGAAAACAATGAGGAACTCAAAACTTTATAAAAATTGATAATTGGTAACTTGCTAATGGCAGCTTAGCTAGTCTTCAGGTTAACTTTTTATTGATTACTATTGATTGATATCTTGAGGTTTGTTTGTTTAGTTAATGTGTCGTTTGTTGATTTTCCCACTGATGTCCTATGTTCATCTGCACTCTGACATCACACTGTCCTCTCTTCTCAGCTGGCGAAGGCACTTGAAGCTCACCGTTTATAATGTCTCAGGCCACCAAACGCAAACACGTTGTCAAGGAGGTTCTTGGAGACTTTGTCACGCCCACAGAAAACCAGCAGATTGTGAAGGTGGGCTGTGTGCACACTGCACTGGATTAAACATATTTAGAATAAACAATCTTTACAGCAGGACTGTTTTAACTGTCTCCATCCTTTACCTGTTCATGTGTAGGTTATTGGTAGCCGTGGTAACAACCTCCATGAAACTGTCACGGCTCAGGGGGAGACCTTCCTGGTGAGCATGCCCACCAAATTCCGCAAGAACATCTGGATCAAGAGAGGTAACTGATGGAGAAGGACTTGTGGTTTAAATATTATAGACTGTTTAAGAGATCATACAGTGTCAGTCTATCAGCTCAAAAATGCTGCTTCTAGTGCTCACAAGACCAAGTTAAAGAAGCTCATCATGGTTATCAATGTGTTTCCATGATCAGAATAATGGCAATGTGTTGATTATGGTGTAGAACTGATACCCTTTACTGTGTGAAGTTGTTTATGGCTCTAAAGTATGGATAAAGATTTGACTAAATAGAAATTATGTCTAAATATCTGTATTAATAACAGTTTTTCTGTTTCTCAACCTGGTTATTGTAGCCATGTCCTCAGTTTGACAAAGACCTGATTTAGGGAGGAAATTGCCAACATTCAGGCTGCGAGCACACACACACAATTTAACCAATTTTGGCTAAACTTTGAATATTGCTAAAACATTCAACAGGGAAATATGAAAATATGCAATATTAGTCTTTATTAATCAAAACTAGTGTTTCATTTTATATCCGTTCAAAAGTGCACAGCAAAAATTTCATCAGTCTTATATTTTTTAGTCGAACTACTGATACATTCTCCAGCAATACATTTTCAAAAATCTATAGTGTTTAAGTAGTCTACCACAGTGTGTATGCATGTGGGAGTTTTTGTCTTCAATGATAAAAAAAATGCTGTTTTTTTTTTTCATGAGAATAGATATTGATATGATATCAAAAGAAGGGGCCAATATCAGTCAGTCAGTCAGTGTTGACGTGCTGCTTAGTGCTGGCTGATAAAACATGTCTGTTCATCTTCATTTATAAAAAGATATTTATTTTCCCCCTGCGGAAACTTTTCATGGGCTCAGTATCACAGCATCACAGAACATTCATCTCCAGACATACTTAGCAGGATCCTTACAGTCATTCATGCAGTAAAATATTTTATTTAATTTTCAGCAGTTAAAACCAGTAAGACCAATAAAACTGTTAAAACCAATAAAACTGATATGACTGATAAACCCAGTAAATCAGGGATATTGCACAACCTAGCCCTCACTATAAAGTGCTCTCTGCCCATGTTCTATTGATACAGTGTTTAACTGCTGCTATTGAATATCTAAACAGAAGATGGAACAAATTTGTTTCTATAACCATGTCTGTCTAGAGCAGGGTTCCTCAGTTAGTTTTATACAGATTATGTGAAGCATGCCAAGCAAAGGGCCAAAATATCCAGGGTTTTTTCCAGACATTGCAGGGTTTTCTATCTATGTGCAGACATTGTTGTTGTTGTTGTTGTTGTTGTTGTTGGTAGTAGTAATAATGTGGGTCAGGGATTCTCAAAGTCTATGTTTAGGGTCAGACAAGGAAAAAAAAAAAAAAAGCACTCTTGAAACAAAATAAATCCAAAACCAACCATTTAATTACTTAAATGCCCCTATAAACACACACACACACACACACACACACACACACACACACACACACACACACACAATCACAACTTTTTATATCTAACTCAAATCAAAAGCAAAAAGAGTGCCCTAAGGCAACAATTCTACAAAGACCTGACATATCTGTGCCTGCCATCAATAACATTAATGCTGGTTGTCAAACAGTCAAACACCCATCTGCAAAATGTCCACACAGCTCTCCACAGAGAGACCGCTATCAGCAGCATCTCTACAACCACATTCACCTCAGGAGGAGGATATCACAACCAGCAAACAGAACCACATAACCAACCATTTAATTGTTTACACACACACACACACACACACACACACACACACACACACACACGCCTGGCCTGGATGTGCATTGGAGAGTCTGTGTCTTTCCTACAATCTGAATCTATATTAGGCATGTCGGTCCGGTACAATAAAATAAAACTGATCAGTCTGGTCAAATTTGAGTGGATAGCTCTCCTGGTCGACGTCACGCTTTTTCTTTAAAACCATGTTGATCTTGGTTTAGGACAGTTATTTATCATCTGTGACTCGTAATTACTCACTTACATGACAGGCGGATAGAGAGTACGCAGTGCATCTTACAAATACGGTGTAGATCAAGTGTACGGTGTGGGATGAAGTCAAAATAAAGTAGCAGTTTGGACTTAAATTCACATGGTAAGTCAGGTGCACCAGTGCCAATGAAACGGCGTAGGTCAGACATTTGGCTGCCACCGGCCGGACCTGGCGCACAGGCCGTCTATTGGATTTTGGAGTCTAGACTTTTGAACTTCATACTGTTAGCTAGGGGCTAAATGCTCATATTAGAGTGAAGGATGTGGGCTGATGACCTTTATTTTTTGATTCACAATTAAGATGTGTCTGCTTTCTGATCCTGAAGGTGACTATGTGATTGTGGATCCTATCGAGGAAGGAGAGAAGGTGAAGGCAGAGATCAGCTTCATTCTCTACAAAGATCACATTCAGTACCTGCAGAAACAGCAGCTCTGGTGAGTGGGGACACACACAAAGATGATCTCATTTTGTCAAGTGTTACTGAGTGTACTGAGATGTTCCCTTCGTTTTCTCCAGGCCAGAGGGGTTTATGGAGGAGCCGTCAGCGCAGGACAAGACAGACAAACAGCAGGAGACAGAAGAAAAGGACGAGGAAGAGGAAGTTAGCGACTCTGAAGACGATGAGAGCGACCTCTTTGTGAACACCAACCGCCGTAACTACCAGTACAGTGAGAGCGAGGAGGAGGACGACAGTGAGGAAGAAAATGAGGACAAATAGGGAAGGACAGAAAATGGTTCATAGCGAGAGCACGGAGGAAACGGACAACTGAGAGTGAGAGTTGTGAAATCATGTGACAGTGTGCTCTGCTGTACTGCTGTTATCACTGACTGATATGAGGTGGTCCTCATGCTACAGCTCCTTCTGCAGTTGTCCTTTCACAAGCTGTTGGAGACACCATAAATGGCTGGCCTCACTGAGTGGACTTGAACTTACAAAGTAAGGACAAAATACGTCTGGCTTTGGGGCTTTTTTTTTTTTTTTTTTTTAAAGCTGTAATTAGTCAGTAAGTTGAAATTGATCAGAAATTGAATAAGAATCCTGTGATTTTCTATGTTAGAAATTTGGTAGGATAAGTTTCTACTGTCATCTTACTGAGAACATGTCTCACACTCAAGCATGTTTATATACCAACCTCCAGCAAAGTCATTACTGTATTGCCAGCACATAATATACCCGGGCAATACAGTACATTCGCAGGGTAATGCTAATGTAAACTGTTCTATCTATCTGTTCATCTTCCTCTGTAGGACAAAATAAATCTGTTAGAAACTCACAAAAATTGCACCACTCAAAAAATTCATTGTTGTCACTGTTAAAAAAAAGAACAAAAAAAACATGATTGTCATGTTTGGTTTATTTGCTGGGTTGTAAGACCTGTAAGACCAGTCCTGCGGAGGACATTGTTTTAACTGATTAGACCGTCACCACCCCCTCACAGAGCCGCTCTCTAGTGCTGATTGTTTGATTTGAATTCAAATGAGTGCTGCCACTAACCACAGTTCTTTATTTTGTCCCAAGCGTGTGCAGATGTGTCAGATTGCTCTAGTTTCATCTGACCTTGTCTCAGGCTGTATCATTGTGACTGGTTTGTGCCTCATCTTTTACCACCATCCCTGCCTCTGATTTTGGTTTGTATAATGACAAGAGTACTGGAAATAGATTCATTCTTGAGTTTGACTTAATATCATCCACTCCACGTCTTCCACTTAGAGATTCAACATTTTGTTTTGAATGTCTTTTATTCAAAGAGCTGTCTCCTCTGGAATAATTGTGCAGAGGTTTTACAAGCATGAAGCATAAACACAATACTATATTGCATTCCTAAAGATAAGTTCATAATATTTGAGGTGAAGCCGATCAGGAGTTTCATCCTGTTGTTATTGGAACCGGTTCTACTGGAATTGGAATACCTGACAGTTTGTCCTCGTGGTTTGATTGGTAAACACAGAAATTAGTGGGATGACATGCTACAAATACAACATCCTGAGTGCCTACCTTACTGTCTTTACTGTCTTACTGCAGTAGTCTCTTTGTATGTCTAGGAAGTCCATGATAATGCTGTGAAGCAACATTTGAAATGTGAAATATTTTTGCAGAAAAACGTTTTAATTAAGTATTCATGCCTATTAAAGGTTTTCTTCAAATAATATAAAGGTTTACGACGGTCGTAAACAAACACAGCTGCCACCAAATTCTTCAAATGAATCATTCTTAGCCAACAATCAGATGAGCCAAGGGTGTAAGTTTGGGTTCAGAGGACAATGGGGGGGGGTCTTCATGAAATTGTTGCACAATTAATGCATTATCTCTACTTAGAATTACCTTTCGTTTCATTGATAGACAATTATCTATTTGCATCCTCACTAAAAAGAGCATTGTCTTGTGAATGTATGCAAAGAATTTCTTGGCATTAAAAGCACTTCCTGCTGGGGAGGGTGAACATGAAGAACATCCACTCTGCTTCAAACGGCACTCCCTGTTCTTTCTCCTGTGCCTATTGTGAAAACCTTTATCACAGATTAAGAAAGCCTTGACTTCAGTTTCATTAGGATGACCACTGTTCTTTCATCGTTTGTTTCTCTTTTTTTCCCAGGACTCTGCTCTAGTAACTTGTATTATCACATTTTGGTGATGGGTGGTTTTCTGCATTTGTTTTTATAGCAGTACCAGTTGCATGAGCAAAGCACAATGAAAAGAAAGAAAGCGTTATGGCTTTGATGAGTCATTAAGGAGGAGCTTGTGTCATGAAAATAGAGCAGGGCATATTGAAAGCTCATTGGGAGATGAAAGAACCAGAAATAGTTCACAGTAATGTACAAAAATTTATTTTACACATTCATCACACTGGCTGATTGTGGACAGTTTTCCACAGCGAGTTTAACCGGAGTGGAGCCACATTCTTTACTTCAAAACGACACTGGGAGCTGGAGTGGAGTGGAGACCTTCCCAGTTTCAACACTGCAAAACCAACTCAACCACTAAATTCACAGTCATCTTAAAAATAACTACATTTAACACAGCTAACCTTCAGTGTTATTATTATGATTATTTTAAAACTTAAAGCACATACTGTTGTTGCACTTAAAGCGTGACTCCAGCTGTAGCAGGTCTGGTATGACCACTGGCAGGGGTGGCTGATGTAGCGGATGTCAGCTAACTGTAGGAAAACATTCTTGCACGACTCACATTTCTAAGATAGTTCACTGACTTTATGACTCTTCTCCATGCTACTGTGACAGTAATTTAGCATTTTTGTTGGCTGGAAAAACACATTTAAAAGGAAAAAATTGTGAAAAGGGTGTCTGTAGTAAATGGATTATCACATGCAAAAAACACTAGCTTAATCCTTTGAAAATTTTAATGTTGTTTAGTTTAATTAAATTATAAAACCTAACCCCAGAACATGGATACCTGAAGTAAAACAGACATAAGTTAACACACTGTCACCTATTCGTAACTCTTATCAGGAAATGTTTAGAGTCATTGTCTTTAATGTCTTAGAGTTTTTGGCTTATTTTTCCTCTCGCCTACATTCTTCAGAGGCACGTCCCAACACTGGGTCTGTGTTTTATTCATGTGGTCCCACAGTTTAACTACCTGGTGGGGGCTTCGTTTGTGGACCAATAGGATCCTGTGGTACGAACACAGCTCCTCCTCTTCCTTTTCAGGAAAGTCAAACGTGAGGAAGGCAGGGTGGTGAACGGGTTGCGCGTTGAGTCGAATCATACACATACCTACGTAAACGTCATCAATGGGGAACAGGTGAACTTTTTTAGACATGTTGTGCAGGCGTTTGGTCAGCTGGCCTGAGTACACCACCCCACCCCCGCCTGCATATGTAGGATAGAGGCCCTTGTAGAAGCCGTCAGGGACAAAGTACTTGGATTTGTTGACTCGGTTGGGCATGGCTGCACCTATGACATCTCCAACCATGAAGTCTTTCATGGTCTTGTGTGCTTTCGGCTTCTTCAGCTGCTCCTGGAGATAGGTTATCATTTTTGGGGTGTTGACAAAGACATCGTCGTCTCCCTTAAAGACGAAGCGAGTCCGGCCGCAGGAACGTGAGAACCAGCTCCAGAAGAGCACGTCCTTCAAGGTGAGGTTGTAAAATGTGTCTTTGAAGTCCCACTGTATAATGTCTCCATAACGTTTACTCTCTAACTGCACTAACTCAGATAAATCTATACCCAGCTCCTCAGGGTTTTCTTTGCCTAGCAGGAACACCCTGCGGACGTATCCTCCGCCTTCTTCTCCTGTGCTACTGTTTGTCTTCTGTCCTGCCACCCAGCCCACCTGGCCCCAGGTCTGTCGAATGGCCTGTCGGTTCTTAAAGTTCAGCTCTGTTGTTTTGATGGCCAGGAGAAGCAGAGGGGGCTCCTTCTCGTCTTTTGCCCCAGCCCCACATACTCCATCAGGCTGAATGACGGTTGGGTAGTCCCTCTTTTGCATGTGGCTCACAAACTCTTGTATCTGCTGTGGCAGCTTCTCAAAGTTTCTCTTCGTGCTATCCAGGTCGATAACCTCAGAGAAACTTTGCTTCAGTCGGGACTCATCAGAGGTGCTTTTAACTAATCCCCTCTTGTGGTCGTTGGGGTGCAGGATGGGGTTAAAATGCCGGTCAGTGACCTGCTGGAGATTGTTCCAAAAGGCATCCCCATGCAAGTGGAACTCCCAGAAAGCTTTAGGCAGAGGGGCAAAGCTGTTGTTTGTAAAAGTTCCTGAGGCCACAAAATGATTCTTCTCTACGGCCCAGGACGATGCTGTGCTAGCCATGCGTATACACACCATGACGGTGGCGTAGATGAACAGCAGCGCCAGGCAGATGCATGGACTGCACACACAGATCAACACGTTACGCCAGCGACAATGAAACTGCGCCATTCAACTGCAAATACAAGATAAACAAATACAAATGTATCAGTTTGGACAAGTCTGTGTAAAAAGAGTATGAAAATACATTAAAATGTACCAAAAAAAACAGAATTATTGTGCACATGGTGAGAGAGGCTTCGTTATACAATAAAACAAAGTATCAGTCATAAGAGAGAAAGGAAAAAGACGAGAGGAGAAGAAGAAAGCAATGAGAGAGAATAAGCCTTTAGTTGAAAGTTGACAAAACAATCTCCCCAAAATGTCTTTTTACGAGCTACACTGGAGTTTTCAGTTCTATCACATGGTCTTCATCAGCAGATAGCTTTTGCCCAATTGCATCTACAATTCCTTGATTTACTTTGAAAAGTCTTGTAGTACGAATAATCTCCAGATCAGCCACTAAATGGACCTTGTGTAAACCGCTGTTCCTGAGGTCAAGAATGAATTTTCACACTCGACTGTATTTAAAATGATGAAAAGATTTTACACTACGATGAGATCGACATCTGAAATGAATAAATAAGAGTCATGTTTTCTTTGCTTACCTGTTTTAAATGAAGGCTCCTTCATTCACTGATCACTCATCTATTATGACAACCAAAGCTGATGGTCCATGCTAGCAATCTGACGACCCCATCATCAGTTTATTTTCAAGTAAAACAAAGAGGGATAGGGATAGATTTGATCCAGAGAGTCAGTCTGGTGATCAGTCAGGAAGGTTTTTCTTCTTAAGCTTAAACTGAAACACAGTCAGGCGTGTGCACAAGGGATACACCCACTGACATCAAGAGAGCAAACAGGAATGACATGATGTTCTTTTGCCATTAATGAGTGAAGGGGGAGTCGGCCACAAGCACAACAACCTGCATGAGAAAGGCTAAACAAATATAAAGCAAAGTGATAAAATTAACTATTTGTCATTAACTGTCGATGTTGATGCCACTATATTCTAGTCTCCTCTCCACCGCATGTGTACGCTTAGTTGTTCCTATTCTATAGTACACCTGTCAGTCATGTTAAACACATAGTTGAGTTAATTATCACCCATGCATCAAGTCAAACAGGTAATGTCAGAGAGGACCTGTTCTTTAGATGCCTGAAAATTTGGTTTTGCAACACTTCAAGGACACACACTGTTGGTCTCGCTGAACTCGAAACCAGCCAATATCATCCAGGTATCAAGTAATCACTAGGAATTCAATTCATCTACATAAAACATTTAGCGAAGGACAAATGATTATTGTGAGACACAAATATGTCCCATTGTGAATCAACCAGTTAACTGTTCCGTTAATTATTTTAACCACCAATTCATGATCATTGTTAAATGCAAAATCTCTCTCTTTCACACACATTGGAATGTTTTTATAACAAAAATGTCTTAGTCTGTGTGTGTGTGTGTGTGTGTGTGTGTGTGTGTGTGTGTGTGTGTGTGTGTGTGTGTGTGTGTGTGTGTAATTAATGGATGAATGAAATGAAAAGTCAAAATCAAGGAGACGTCCTGGTGGCCTGTAAGGATTTGAGACGTATAATTGAAACGTACCTGGTCCGAGTCTGGGCCGGGACCTCTGGTGCATTTCCAGCCAACTCTGCACTAATAAAGGCAAAAAATAACTGAACAACAGGTCAGAAATGTGGCTTCAGCACAACATGTCAGACACTACTGCTGCATCCTGAAGGAACAGTGCATTTCAGCGTGGTGAGAGAGTAAGTGTGGACAGACAATAACAGTGAGTGAAGTGCATGTCTGCTGCTGTGCTCAGCTGGTGTCTGAAAGCAGCTTGAAAAATGTCACCTGTTACATATATATCTTTTTGTAATTCACACAGTCAGGTTTTGACTGACATGTAAATTCTTACAGTTAAACTGAATTCTTTCAGTAAAATATTCTTGTAGTGTAGTATGAAATATTGCAAGTAATCTTGAATAAAATGTGGTTTAATAACTAACACAGAAAGGTCACCATGACCAACACTGCCATCTAGTGGTCCTGGCTTTGCAAGTCTGACTCCTCCATTCTCAGTGTTCACATGGTGAACCACTGACTTTTGGCTTCTCGGTTTTATCACCACTTCTTTATGTAAATATAGAGAAAATAACAAAATCTGAAAACCTGTAATAAAAAAAAACCCAACATTTTTTGTTACAAAGATGACAGGACTGTTTCAAAATGGTAGGAATAAAGTTTTATTTTTCATATGAAGGGGTGGTTTTGGATTTTTCTTCTTTTACAAGTAGTATGTTTTTGATAAAACTTGCAAAAAATCTTCTAGCATATTCCAAGAATGATGGACATGAAGAGAAGGGGATTTATTGCTGAATGTTGAAATGAAGACACATTTTTATTTTTTTACCGAGTGGAAAAACGATTTGCTTGCTGCTTTTTCCATGCACCCAACTACCAGTACCACTAGGACATGCAGGGGGGAGAAGGGGGGCAGGGGGAGGCTGGGGTAAGAGGAGAGGGGAGAGGGAGGGAGAGGGAAGGGGAGGGGAGTAGGGAAGAGAGAAAGGGGGGAGTGAGGGAGTCAGTAGGTAAAAAAGACAAAGGCAAACTGCTTGACAAACACAAACATGGAAGGGTTTCGTGTGTGTGTGTGTGTGTGTGTGCGTGTGTGTGCATGCGCGTGTGTGTGTCATATGAGGGCTCGTGTCCCTGTGTGTGCGTGTCTCAGTGTGTGCTTCATTATGTATGATGTGGGTATGTATGTGTGAAACGTATGTGTGTATGTAAAGGGAGAGGGGGGAGTGCAGGGTGAGGAGAAAGAGGGTGGGTGGGGGGTGTTAACATTTCAACTAGCTCTAGAAGCACACTACCCTCACTTGCAGTATTTCCACATTGCAAATCCCAGATTGATTACAGTGATAGTAAGACAAAACTAGCCAGACCTTTGGGCCAAGAACCCAAATAATGTTTTTATATATTTCTAGTATGATTCCCCTGAATCTGTGGGGCTCTTTGTCATTTTTAAGATACTTTCTATATCTGTGATCCATGCATCTCCTGTGTGAAAACAGAAAACAAACAAAAAAAACAAAAAACAACTCTACTTATTGGAAATGAACTCTAATAGGGACACATATTGTATCTGACACAGTATTATCTTCCTCAGCGAGCTTGAAAGGGTCTCTAAACCTGATGTACGTTTGAGGTGGAAGAGTTTCTGACATGATCAGCCTACTGTTGGTGTGCTGTTCAGTATACTCGTCTGGAGATGGGGCCTAAATCCATCTGCTAGTTGCTTCTGAAGGTTGATAAAGGGGTGAGAAAGACATGAAGGTGAGGGGCCAGGTGATGTGGGGTGGAGGGGGGCAGACAGAGACAGACACGTAACAGATCATTCAGTCAATATGACCAAGCAAAAGAAGTTCAATCAATAAAGGTATAGGAATGCAAATCAAGGATGCAGTAATCAGTATTATCATATACCACCATTTGGCTGTGAGCTAAAGAAAAAAAGTAGAATCAGACTCAGAAACTCGCTCTGTAGCAGTGTGAACCTGCACGCAGCGACCCGCAAGCGATTTTTCCCATCAGAGCAGTGCCATCGCTAGTGGGGTGAAAAGTGGTGGCGATTCTAGGGGCCCACAGCTGGAGAGGGCCCGAAAGTTTCCAGTAGGATTATATTTGTAAAAAAAAAAAAAAGAAAAAAGAAAGAAAGAAAAGAAAAGGGGGGAACCCAGAGTGATATCCTCCTCCTCTTAAGGGGGCCCAGAATTCCTAGCTATGTCCCCGCATCAGAGCGAACAGATGTGGTCTCCAAGTTTTTTGATCATCATCATCATCATCATCATCATCGTTGTCGTCGTGACCCACACACAGCTACACACATGCCCACTTACACACATGCACACAACCTTTTGAAGTAAAAAAAGAAAAAAGCAACTGAATTTCCCTTCTGATTCCAAGAGTTTTTACCCACGCTCCCTTAATCATGGCCACGTGTGAACACAACAAACCTGACGGACGGACAGGAAGGAGAGTGAGGGGACGTGGATCTGGCCTGCGGACTGAACTGTGACTGAGATGACGTGCTCTCTCTGTTTTGAGTCTTTTGGCTGTGATGTGATGGGGAAGTCCTGAGACACAGTGCGGCTCTAAGCTGCTGGCATAGGAAACGGGCGGGCTGGGCAGTCCACGGGAGGCCAGAGTCAGGCTGGATTACAACTGGATTGGTTAGGTTCGGTTTGGATCGGCAGCTCCCTGGCCAATGAGGGAGGTTCTTACAGTGCAATGGAGCTTCTGGCAGCGTGAGGATTGGTGGGAGGAGCGTGTCAGTCAAACAAGAGACCACACCCTCCAAGGTGAACGGAGGCGCCAACCAAATGAGGCTTCATGAGGTGCACACACACACACACACACACACACACACACACACACACACACAAACACGCACACACACGCACACACACACACACACACACACACACACACAAACACGCACACAAACACACACATGCACACAAACACACACACACCACTAATGTCATGGCAGCACCCTGAACACCTACAGAGGAATCTGGAGTCACTGTCCCTCAAAAACTCCCTAACACTCTTGTTTTCACAGAAATAACAACAAATGACTGACAGGCAGCGAACGAGGACATAAATGACTGATGTGTGTTCATCTGGAAAGATTCTTCCAAAAATCATCCGAGAAAACTACCCTACACATCCGGTTGCGTCAGTGACTAAATGTCCCTGTGAAACGAGCGCATCGCATGGATCATACTCATGTAAACAGACACCTTTTACACAGGAGGAATCAATATTGCATGATGACATAATCAGATCACAGTTCAAAAAGAGGAAGATCCCAAATCAGAGAAAAAACCAAAGCAAAAGGAAGGAAGAGGGTTGGTCTCTATAAAAACGAGGAGTCTTTATAAGAAAGGCTACAAAAACTCAATGGGACCTCCGACTTCAGCATACAGCAAAAGGCACCACAATATTATTCTATTTATCTAACTCGTGAAAAAATTGGCACGTAATTCTCTTATTTTTTCATCTCTCATAATGCTGTAAATCAAAAAACTTTACATATAAATATTTCCCCCCCGTTATAAAAAAAGTCTTTGCTGTTAGCTAGTAGACAATTTTTGCTGAAATGAAAATAAATATTTCATTTGTTTAGAATATCTGTCTGTTATACAAAATAAAAATATTTCTCCTAGGTGCAGGTCTCTAGTCCACTGGTTGTGTGTAGGAGGAAGGGGGGTGTGTGAGGTGGAGGGGGTGGGGGGGGTGGCAGGGGTGTATGGGTGGGTGTCGGGGAGAGGTTAAGTCTTAAAGGGGCATGTTGTCAGCCTTGGAGCGCTGCGACTGGGAGCCGCGGCTCTGCCCGTTGCTGCGTGTCCCCGGCCGACTCAGCCCGCGGTGAGTCCGTGTGTCCGCACCAGAGGACGAACGGAAACCCGAGACCGTTAAGGGTGGGTCCACGTTCATGTTCTGCATACTAAGGAAAGGTGTGCTCTCCCCTTGAGCATCCTCTTCCTCCTCCTCCTCTTCCTCCTCTTCTGACTGGCTGAAGCTCTGTGAGCTGTAGTCCCGTAGGCCCGCTGAACGCTGGGAGATGTGTCCGTTGAGGCGGTTGCGTCGCGGGCGGCGCCGGCTCCGGATAGGTTCCCGTGATGAGGCGTACTCCTGCGTGGTCTCATAAGCCTCATCGTCAGGGAGGCGGTAGGGGCTGGACGGTAGACTTCCTGTGCTCTCCGTCAGGTAGGGTCGCCGTGGACGCCGGGGCTGCCTGTATAAACTTCCATCCTAAAAACAGAAAACACAGCGGAGGATTTGTTAGCATCTACATCATCTTACTAAACAGGATGAATGTTGAACTGAACCTGAATGTTCATCAGTGATTTGCTCAAAGGAACTTCAGCAGGGTGGATGTTAACCATCAGGTTAAAGGATAAGTCAGGAAAAGGACAAGACTGTACATACTCACTAAAACATCAAATGTGTATTCATGTATTGTATTAACTTAAACCTATATTGCCCAGCTGTTTTGGGAAATAATGTAGCCTTAAAAAAATAAAAGTATATGTATTGTTATAACCCGTTTTGAAAGATTTACATCTTCAGTAGGAATGAATAGGCTTAGAGCCAAGTGCCACAGACAGCGAAGTCGCAAAACATTGAGAGATAGATTGACGCATGGCTGGTTTTGGTCTTTTCATTTGATTTGTTGACAGTGAAAAAATATATAACATTATCAGCCCTATCCATTAACTGAGTGCATATTGTCACAATCAACCTGCTGCTGCTGTCATTTTTTTTTTTATTTCATACGATCTTTATTAAATCAGGCAGTCACATTGAGATTAAGGTCTCTTTTCCGAGAGAGACCCGGAACAAGAAACAATCACAACAACACAATCAACAAAGACAGCACAATTACTCATCAGATGTAACTAAGAACAAGGAATTAAGAAAAACAATTACACAAATCATTTTTAAAAATCTGATAAAAAAGCTTTAAAGGAGCTATTCGTAAGTTTTGCTATTTTTACATAGCCAACCTTAGTATTAACAACTGTTTAAATACCACGGGATGAAGAGGAAACGTTAAGAGTTCAGCATCAAACCATCACGTCTTTTCTTAAATTAGCATGCTAACCAGCTACCCCTGACCCGGTTGGCCCACCCTGTCACTGTAGCCTCCAGTCTGCTCTGAAGATGTAGTGCTGCTCAGAGGGCGTATTATAAACTACTGTCTTGTAAACGATGGCTGAAGTTCTCTGTAAGACTGGTAAGTAAACAGCTGTTAATGCTAACGTTAGCTGTGTAGCAAGAGCAAAAACTTACAAAAAGCTACTTTAAAATCTGCACGGGACATGTAAGACTCTAGTTGGAAGGCAGTTTTAAATGGTGTATATTACCTGAGATCAGCTCAGCCAATATTAGTGCATAAATGAGAGATGTCTGAGGTCAAGTAGATACTGGACAGTGTACTGTAGATACTGGATCTAAATGAGAGGTGGTTTGCAAGCTTCACCAGTTGAGCTTTATGAATGAATAACACAGGGTTATGATACACAGGGTTTAAGTGTTGTAGTGTTGATGGGGCACCATGACAATACAGGATATCTTCAAAGTCAAGCAAAGACATAGAGGCTGACTACACAATAGTTTTATGGTTGGAAGAAAATCCTTTAATTCTATACATGAAGCCTAGTTTGATTCTTAATTTCTGAATCAATCATCGCGATGCACAGTATGTAATATATTTGCCTACGTACATCAGGGCACCGTAGCAGCGGCTGGTCGTCCTCTCTGTGGTAGGCAGCAGCAGCAGGGGGCAGGGAGAGGGCGTGGCTTGTGTTGGGTGAGGTGATCTGAAAGGTGGGCACCTGGGGTGGCAACAGGGGGTAGTGGAACTCCACTGGAGACAGGCGTGCTGGCGTCGTCAGCGCTGACACATACCTGGATGGAATAAACGTCAGCAGATTGTTACAGTGTCTGAATTACAACAGTCCACCAGAGCTAGTGCACGTTTTTGCCACATTTTTAACCAAAAATTTATCTGTTTCACAAAATACACTAACTTTAAAACTGCACTGACAGCTCTAAGTGCGCGACAAGATGTTTGAAACAGATACACTCAGTTTACTGTTTACCTGTTGTGCTGGTCTGTGCTGCTTTACAACAAAAGATACCAAAAGGACGATAGAGGTAACACTGACTGTTGGTGAGCATCAGGATGATTGATTGAATTTTACATTTCATATGTATTTTAATGTGGCAATAAGGTACAATTGTTTGATTGCCAGTGACCTTCCTGTACACTGAGAATTTTTAAAATAAAAGCTCAGGAAATAAATAGAAAAGCAGGTGATGGGAGGAACATCTGATGCAACACAACCTGTGATTTGGACTTTAGCACTAACTCATCACTATCAGGCTGTCAGTGAGTCCTATCCATCTGTTTTCTAAACCACTTGTGCTTTCCAGAGCCAGGGGGCTGGGGTCTACCCAGCATGCACTGCAAAGGTGGAGGGGTACACCGTCGACACATCGACTGCCAGTCAAAGGGCTAAAACACAAAAAGAAACAACCACATTCACACCTGTGGGCAGTTTAGTGTTTCCACTCCACCTGACCTGCAAACTCCAAACAGAAACACTGCAGCAGGTTCAGGTTCATGTTCACATGTAGAACCTTTTTGTCCTGAAGTGACAGTGTTGACCACCACGTCAGTCCCAGGTATTTCAAAAACATCACTGTACATGTGCCATCAGAGTGTATGACTGCTGTGCCTCAGTAAGTTACAGTGAGTCACACCAAAATCATTTACACCTTTCATGAATTATATATTTCTTTCATTACAATTTATTGAAATTTAAAATTAGTTTGAAATGATATAAGAATCACAACAAGCACACACCAAGCAGATGATGTACAGACAAGTCACTTTAGAAATAAAATGGTCTAAAATTGTTGCTCCTAAGTTATCATGCTTTTAATCACATTGCTTTAGAAGTTAATCCATTTGAGAAAATGGACAGAGCATTCATGTTTAATATCAAGTAAAGTGTATTATTATAATGCACTGATCATAGTTAAATGCAGAGCCTGTTTCGTAGAGAGTCAGAGGGCATTCTGGGACATGTAGGAAGCCACTAAATAGAATATAGAAGAGGATAGAGGAGTCAGGCTGAATCAAAGTGGGGTCACCAAAGTTATTTACAACTGTCAAAAATAAATACCTGAAATTGCCGAATAAAACTAATGAAACAACAAACAGGGAATAAATCTTTCCTGTACGAGCAAAATCAAAAACATTAACAAAAATCAGCAAGTGCTCTATTTGAGAAAGATTGAAATATTCCCTCTCTCTACACATTTAGGTCCCAGGATAGTTCTGATTTATAAAGTCACATTACAATTAATAATATCTGGGCAATGAAGTCCTTCACACACTGAAAAAGTCATAATAATTAACTACCACTTGGGGTCGCTAAAGAGTACGGGGGCTGAATGTGACAAAAAACACCACAAAGCAAAAGTGTTGTAGAGTCATGAACAGAGGCAGAGTTTACCCCCACCCAGCCACCATCACTACACACACACAAACACACAGACACACACACACACACATTACCACCTCCCCTACCTGTCACTGTGAGGTGAGTCTCTTAGAGAGTCGTAAGAATCCCCATACTGCATCCCCGGTCCAGATGTGTCCGCACAGCCCCAGTGAGCGGCCCTCCTCGCCATGCATGCCGGGCTGCTGCACTTACTGGTTCCCACAGAGCTGGACAGCCCACCTGACTGGCAGTCTGAGTTCATACTCTCTGTTCGCTCCATGCTCCACGTCTGCTCCTCGTGTCTGCAGGTGTGGGTGTTAGCAGAACGAGTTTAAAAGGTTACAATAGCACTGAAGAGGCAGGAGGATACTGAGGAGGAATGAACGCTGGGCAAGAATAAACCAGTGATAACATTGATGGAAACATTGCATCAAATTCATTGTGTTATGTGAGTTGCTAGCACTACTGAACCCATTGACAGTCAACAGCCAGTTGTGCACCTCTATACAATCTGACTCTATACCTGTCTGACAAGACAAAGCAGACATGGCTGGTGATGACATTTGAGCATCAACAAACCAAAGACACAGACATTTTTCCCAGGTGTTGACGTACCAAACCATAGAACAAGTTGCCCTTGTTGCCCTGTGTATGGTGAATGTGTATTAAAACTATAGCTGGCTATAGGCCGGCTGTACCTGTCTGTGGGGATGAGCCCAGGTTCGACACTGAAACTAAAATCAGTTGCATTCATAGCAGTTAGCATGAATCAGGTAAATGTTTTACGACAATTTAGCAGCAATGTGGTGGTAATGCTAGCCATTCTGTTTGCCATCGTAGGTTGAGAATGACACTTGTCAACAGGTTGTGCTGGGATGGCGGGTGAAATGGAAGTGGAAGGTCATGGTCATGGAAGGTAAACCTGCCTCCTATCTGTATCTATGCAGCTTACAAGAGCCTAATTATTATGACTGGCTGTAGCTAGCTAAGATTAGCCTGTGGACGTGTCTGTAGCTGTGGGCATTGCTGTTGTTGTGATTACGGCTGTGGTTGTAGCTAATGCTGTGGCTGATAGCAAAGCTGTGATATGTGTAACATTAACTGACCTACACAGTGGTGAAGCTATTATTGACTCCCTGCCGTGTTTTGGTAATACATCTGCCACATCAGATAGAAGTACCAGGTTTGAATCCTGGCAGCGGTGTCTGTCTTTTCAACGTTGTCTTGGTCATTGTTACTATTTTACAGTAGGTGCTGTGAAAAGCAACCAATCAAACCAGTCACAATCGCAGCCAGACCTAACGTTACAGTCATAACTATAGCCGTATAGTTACAGCGATAGCTGAAGCTACAGTCACAACTTTAGCTACAACCAAGGCAATAACCACAGCCACAGAAATAGTCATAGCCACAGCATTGGGCGTGCCCTGTGGCTACGGATACAGACGGAGCTCAGCTTTCTATAGTTTGTAGAGTTATGGTTCTGCCCTCTAGGGGTGAAGGTTCATACCACATCTTTGAAATGTTATATCTCATAAAATGACTGACACATCGGCCTCTGTGGGGAACTTCCAGTGATTCCAGACTTTGTCTCCCCTCGACCCAGTTAATATTATCGTAACCATGGTGAAACTATGTGCTAATCTATATGAATGTTTAAAAACAACTCGACAGACAACAAGTCACATTACATCCCCTCACTGGAAGTTTTCAAAAACTCTTATGTAAGTCTTTGTTCACCCATATCACAAAACACATTTTCTTACTCTGCCATCTAGACACAGAGACAGTTTACATGTCCAGGTTTAGCCATCTCTGAGACTTCTCCCACCACCTCAACACGAGGGAGGTGAATTTAACAGCAACAGCAAAAGTAACATTTCTCTCCAGAAAGCAAACTGACCCTGTAAGATCTTGCCTTACAATGTCCTGCTGAGCTTCACGTGTGTCTGTGTGTGTGTTTGCCTCCTACCTGGAAGCATGTGAGGCAGTGGTAGAGTGGTGGGAGCGGGTCGACATTCGGCTGCCTGCGTAGTTCCCTGCACCCTCAGCTCCGTGGCTGATCACACACTCTGTCGTAGGGACACTCTTGGAGATGTACTGCAATAAACACAAATAAAAACATATTTTAATACTTTTACTTACAGACAGATAATAAATATGAACAGAATATGAACTGACTATGACATCTAACTATGACAGAATTCTTTGTACATATTTAACTCCACATCACTTGTCTCTCTTCACTGTGTTTTCACTGTTGCCATTATGCTGACTCATGCCTATTATGTCTCCAACAGGAAGGTAGGTGTTATCTGCCCTCTCTGTAATGTCTGTCAGCTATGTGCCACCATATTTCCCTTTGTTGTCAGTGGATCAGAGTTTTATTTACACAAAGACTTTTTTGGAGGCAAAACTGCTCTGAAGGCTAATAGAGCCTTCTTGGTGGAGTTAAATCAAAGTGACAAAGCTAAATAAAGTCTATCACCATCCCCACCTAAAGAGACATGAACCGGCTGAGGCTCTGTGGGCTTCCTGCAGTTTGCTCAGATGAAATTTACATCAGTTTTACTGTCTTGTTCTTCTCCTGCCCCTGCTTTAGCATTAATGAATATCTGAGGGGATTCTGGACATTTTGACACCAAAATCCTATTTATAGGATAGTTATATTTAATTTAAAGCACTGATATATCTGGATTTATCGCAGTGGCTCTTTGATACAAAAGCAAAGTCAGCCTTACAAAATGTAGCTTCTGTGTGTTGTGATTGGTAGCTGATAGATAACTGCAAATGAATTGCTATTGTTGTACTGTGTTCTTGTTATTGTTCACTACCAGAAGCTGAAACTAAATCAAAGGTGCCAAAAATGCCTCTAGTACAGTTTGGCAACTGCACCCACCCTGGCACCAACTTTATGTTTAACCAGCATCTCTATTAAAAAAAAATAGAAGAAATAATTAAACCTATCCCTCTTGCCATGAACTGACAACTTTTTCCTTCATTTTTAAAATTCAATCTGGCCAGTTAATTTTGTTGCATTTTTAAAAAACAGTGGTTACTTATTTATTCCTGCCTGGAGAGCAGCTCTGCCTCTGACAAAATCTGGAGTCTGTCTGCAGTGACCTGTTGTAGGTTTCTTCACAGCATGAAGTGCAATGTTGTTGGGGGGTGAACTCAACAGGATTTTCCTTGCAGTTTATCAGTTAAACCTGACTTTAGGATTACCTGCACCTGCCTCTGCTGTGTGTTTCTACTGGTTGGACTCACATCAACCATGGGGATCTCCTCAGGACCCGGTCCGGGGTGGTTGGGCCCGTTGGCCAGCATGCGGTTGGGTTGCTCCACACACTGATTCTGGTTCTGGTGTAGATGACTCTGCATCTTCTTCCTCTGTTTCCTGGACCGGAGGTGATAATGAAGAAGCAATACATGTTAATCTACAGAAAGTGACATTTCGTTTTGATAATTATTATAACTGGTCATGTCTTTTTTGCTCCTTTTATCTCTCTCTTTATCTTTCATTCCTTCTTTTGGTAGCATGTCTGCCACTCATCACATGATCAATTTGTGGTCAAGGCAATACTATCAAAGCACTACATCACACTCTCTCTAGAGCTCACATGGTCAGCATGTAGGTTCAATGAAATCAAATTATTTACTTTTTATTTGGCATTTCAAGAATGAAGCATCTGTATTTTCAGTATTCATTGTATGGTATTAGAGCCTTTTATGAATGGGAAGTCATTAGTCTTTGTTTCAAAGACACATACTTGGTTTTGCAGTAGGCCACAACACAAACGATGCCAACCACCAATAACGCTACACAGATGCCTGTGATCGTCAGCACCCGCCTGTGGTAGAGCTCCTCAGCCTCTGTGGATGGAAACACACACATGTTCACATGCACACACACACAAAACAGACAAAACATAAATACAGACACATAGACACACACATACACACACGCACACACACACACAGCATGAGTGCTTCTCCACTAATGGAAACTACTGAAACAGTTTTCTCACGTATTATCTGCTGCCATCTTATCGCCTGATCTATCATGTCACGTCTTTCAGATTTAACTGTGCTACTACAACACAGGAATAATTCTACAAAACTCTTAATTAATATTATGATGAAAAGTAGCAATGTAAACCTACATCCTGACATAGACTTCCTGCTCTACCTACACCAGTGTATTTACAATGGTCATGGGGATGTAATGTTACAGATGGCACTGGCTGGGATCTGAATACATCATGCCAGTATGAATGGAAAAAAAGACAAGTCACCAAGATGAAGGAAAAAAAATAAAATAATAATTGTTTGTTCAAAGTGTTAACACCACAGTGGCTTAAGAGTACGATAAAAGTTTGGTTTTCATAAAAAAAAAGAAAAATGCAGAAAGGTTTTCAGATTTAGAGAGGAATGTAGCAATTTATATTTGGCTTTAAATATGTTCCTGCAGTTCCTATTTTTTGAATGCCATCACATTATGCTATAACAGGCTTTCAGGTGATGTTATACACCCTCTGGCAGCCATATTGGAACTTGTCTACCTATGGTAACACAGACTGCAGTATAAACAGTTTCATTTCTAAAGTTATGACTTGGCTTTTTTCAACAGAATCAACTGGTTACCTCATTCTGTGAGTGAGGTTTTAATTTTTCATTAACTCTTTGTGTTTAATATAAAAGTAATGTAATTCCAGTCTGAAAAGCAGAAGGTCACGAGATGGGCCAAGGCTAGCTGGTTAGCATGCTAACCTCAGTATTAGAAAAGATGTGATAGAGACCAGAGATAGGTGCTGCTTTCCACCTCTGGAGACAGCTCTTTGTGAGGAAATCAAAGAAGTTGGATGCTGAACTCGCAACATATCTTCTAGACTGGTAAGTAAACAGTCGTTCATGCTAACGTTAGCTATATAGCAAATATCAAAACTTACGAATAGCTCCTTTAAATAATATTTTAGTAATCTAAACCTGATCCCTATTTTAATCACAGTTGTTTTAGTTTTCCTTGAGCCTAAATCATAGTTGTTGTACTTGAACAAATGTAACCATTAACTTGTTTTTGTCATTGTGAAGTGTAATTACTTATAATTTATAACTATAAAGTATAACTGTTGTTCTGGAGATTGAATACAAGTTATCGTCAAAGACAATAATTTTTTTTTGATAAAGTTATTGAACTGACTTATTCACACCATTATATTATTTTTACACTTTACAAAGCATTTACAGCACTTTTATGTCATAGCAAGGACTTGATTTATTTGGTTTATTTTATTTGAACATTATAAATACATTGTATATAGTCTGCCTTCGAATTCATACAGATTTGGAGCACATGACGCTACACTACATTAAACTGATGAGGTTCTAACAGGTTTGTGGTGATGCTGTGTGAATACTATGCCATCGTGGTGTATCTTAGTTAATTCAGATTTTGGGTCCTGCTGTGGCGTAACACTGTGTCAGAATGGCAGGCGCAACGACACAATGAAAGAGGAAGCAACAAACAGAACATGAGGGGAAGAGGGAGAGAATAAAAGGAGAAAAAGTAAAGTGTTGAGGAAGGAGGAGCGGGAGGAAACACGTAGACAGAGGGAGAGGAAGGGGACTGAGAGGGGAGCAGGGGCGTGTCCAGGAGGAAGGCCCAGGGAGAAAGCAGTCCCCATGAACCAAAGACTGGCGTGACTTTGTCCCCTTATCAACTAAAACGGGATTATAGAGGTCCTTGGATTGTTAGTTACGGCTAAATTAAAGTCCCTGCAGGGTAACATATTCTTTTCAAAGTCATATACTTTCTCAAACACAAATATTTTGTTAGTTTCAGTTCCAATGTTTCTTCTCGGTTTGGACTAAAACTGAAGCTGTTCACTTATCACAGCAGCACCTGTGTGCAATCTGTAGGTGAAAACTATCTATGTCAAACATAGCTGCGGTTCCTACAGAAGAATGCTGGTTGAAAATAAGGTAAAACAGAGAGCTGATTTTTTTATATATATATATATATATATATATATATAATCAGTTTGTAGCAGGTAAATCAAACATTGTCGCCTTTACCTAATTGATCACCTCACCTTCCCCCTCTCCCCTCCTCAAAAAGTTCTAGACACAGCCACTGAAGGGGGTGGGGGTGGGGGGTTGGGGGGGACAAGGGAGGGGGAGAGTTTCTAAATAAAGGGCCTCTATAGGGATTGACAAGCCTACGAGAGCCTTGGCCCGGCATTGTGTGTGTGTCACAGGGTACTGATACAGAAAGGCAAAGGGAAATGGGAAGGCGAGCTTGCTGGCACAGTGGAGCCAACAGCAATCGTGATTTAGGACAGGCGAGCTCTTGACTCTGACATTGAGTCAATCATGGGCAGAATAATAAGGACAGACTATGTGGTCAGGCCTTTTGCTGGCTTTTGGCAACGCTTTGCAAAAATACTCGCAGCTTGCATGTTTTTATTTGACAGGCTGCTGAAGCCAATATGCACATTGCCAAAGCCCAGAGGACAAGCCAGATACTTGTATTTATCGATGATGTGAAACATTGTCTGATTTTTGGATAAAGTAAGTAGCTTTTACTCTGATACTTTGATTTGTATCAAGGCTCATTTCATTCTTTTAATTCACCTCTGCACTTTGTTTCATTAATGCATCCTTCCCAGTTAATTTGTCTCTTTCTTCAATGGCTATTTTTCTAAATTTGTCAGACTATAAGAAGAGTGCATGCAAAGAGGGAAGGTTACATGTCTTGAAACCAGGTTAGTGGGCAGGAGAAAAAGAGGGACAGGTTGAGAGAGACCTAGTTGTTGATTTTAGAAAGAAGATGGCACAATAATGTGTGACTGTGAGAGGATCTTGGCAAACTCTTTAAGCACAGCAAAATGAATAATAATGTTCCATACCCAAAAATTCAATTCTGAGAAGCTCTGCCAGCGCAGAAAGTTGTCGTGGTAAAAGGAAAGAGACAGATAGGGTCAGGTGTAATGTCCACTTTGGAGCAGATATATTATTTTCACGTCCTGTATACGCTGAACCAGGATATAAGTTAATTAGTGCTGTCAGTCATAGTGATTGACATGTGTACCGTCCAGTAACAGACAGACAATTCAGACAGCCTCAGCTCTGTGACCCCCAGAAATGACAGGAAAAAAAACTAACTAAATCAAACAAAATCAAAAGCGAAGGGAGAAAATGAACCAAAGGCAGAAGGAAAGAGAAGCCAGCAGGCAGGAAAGGCATGCAGAGACAGACGGACAAAGACAGCAAGACAAGAAGCCACATCACTTACTGCTATATTTACTAGACCTCATTTCTGGAGTAAACAACATTGGACAGAAATACAAAATAAAAAAAATTAAAAAAACAAGACAAAAGGAAAAAAACAAGAAAACAAAAGATAAAAAGCAGTGAGTTACTCTCCAACATAAAAACACAGTACAGTCGATGAGGCTGGCACAGCGAATGGGGGTGGGTGCTGTAACTCGTTTGACTAATGGCAACTGTGTGCCTTTGTATTGATTACAGCATACCTCTTGTATAGCACTTTGTCCCACTACTGCTGCGTACAGCTATTATAACCTTTCATATGATTTACAGAGAAATCATCTCGGCATTCCCAATTTCCATGGCTTTGCATGCATTACAGGCCATAAAGAGAGGAAAAGTCAGCCAATCTCCTGTCCACCCTAACCTAAGCTGCTCTACGTTTGACAGTGCTTTATGTTCGTACCACTAGAAAAGCAGGCAGTGACAAATCAACATAGATTTAGAAGAACAGAAGGTGTTCCTTCAGCTGACTGAAAGAGCATCACAAAGCAAAGTAAAAGCACAACAGAGAGATTTCAGCATGTAGACAAGGCTTGATGGTGGGGTCAAAAATAAACAGACATTACATACAGTATGATATCTCATGATATAAAACCTGTTCTTGGTTTAAATTTGACATTATTCAGTGTGGAAACTCGCACAAACAGACAAACAGCAAAACAAGACAAGGCATGAAGCAGTAGTGTTTCACCCCTGAAAACAAGAAAACGAGGGTCATTTCCAGCCCACTGTGTTATCTCCCTGTGATTGCTTGGACAGTAACCTGACAATGACTTACCCAATGGGAGAAAGAACTAGTTTTTTCTGTATAAAAGCTGCAGGGCCAGGCCTGAAGAAATCATTGACCCTTCAGTGCTGTGCTAAATTTATAGGCATGTGTCCTGCGATCTATAGTTATCGTTACACTGTCCATGTTATCACAGGGGAGTTACAAAATACACTGCAATTGTATCACTATGATTTAAAGGAATAGTTTGACATTTTGGGAGTTACATGAAAAGATCTGTGCAGCTCTCATATCTGTGCGCTAAATATGAAGCTGCAGCCAGGAGATGGTTCATCTAGCGTAAGCCAGGCTCAGACTACAGGAGTTTTCAAACCCTAACCGCTTTTGAAATCGGCTTGCAACACGCACATAAGGAGAAACACACAACAGAATATTGTTATGGTTATCGTGCCAGAGGGAGCAACACACCTATTTACATGATCACATGGGAAAGCAGATGGAAACAAAGTTGAGACAGTGGCACTACATGATCTGAGTCAGTACACGGTGTGAGTCATGCATGTGCGAGTGTTAACAATTCACAGCTACCTCTGGTTTCGACCTTATTTCGCAAGCCAGCAAATCATTGTTTATTGTAGTTTAAGCAAACTATAGTAAGTTTCATGTGAATAAGCAGATGCTGGAGTCTAGCCAGTAAAGGGTTAGTTAAATCTGGCCAAATTTGAAGATTTTATTAATTGTACTGAATTACACATAAAAACATGGACCATATTCTCAGTCTGGAGTTTATGGATTTTTCACAGAGAAAACACAATAAAACTGCTCTCACTTCTCCCACAATGTCAATATGGCCGTTATATGTAAGCACCTCCCGCTGATGGCTGGGGTTTTATTGAGTGTTACTGTGTCAGGATTACTCCAGCAGGCGAGCTCTGAAGCTAACTAGCCAGCTTACTGAAGCTAGCCTGCGTGACTTACATCGTGTAGTGACTCAGATCGTACACTGACAGCCTGTGGTGCAACAACTTGCTGTAACGTTAGTAATACTAAAGGAGTCTGGATGAGAAAATGGTTGAGTTGTTTTATCTTCAGCGAGAACCGGAGGTGAGATTTTAAATTTCAGTTTTACTATCTGCCAGCAGAAGTATCCTAACTAATGTTAGCTTTAAGGGCTATAATGTTTACCGTTGCGTGGCAACTCCATCAGCCTCTCATTTCACATATTGTGAAAATATTGACGTAATCATTTCATAATCATCTAGATTTAACTCCTAAATATCAAACACGGACAGTACCATTGAGTCTTCGAGCAGTTCGGGAGGTATAAGACTGGATCTGTAAAACCCCCCTCGTTACCAGATACCCTAAGACAAACATCGGTACCAACCAAGGACCCAGACCAGATTTCTCCTCCGATTTTCGGGAGGGGTGAATCAGGGTTCAATTGGCTTAAATTAGTCTGAGTCCAGCTTTAGCATAGAGAATGGAACTGGGTGAAAAAGCTAATCTGGCTCTGTAACAAAAAATAGCAAAAAAGAAATCCACCTACCAGCACTACTGGTTGCCTGGCAACCTCACAGTGATGACAAGAATCCAAGAAACGGTTCAGCACAAACCCCCCCATAACACCACATTTGTAGCTTCTACACTATAGTTTCAGCACAGTTAAATAGATGAAGGAGATCATGTCAGTTAGTGAGCTTTAGGTGCTGATAAGTGGATTTTGTTTCCTTTGGACAGAGCCAGGCTGTTTCTCACTGTTTCCAGTCTTTATGCCAAGTTAACCATTTACTGGATCTGGCTTCATATTGAACATACCAACAAAAGTGGATTTTTTAAGTATTCCATAAAAATGTTGAACCGTTCCTTTAATTCAATCACCCTGCCATGAGAAGCAAAACGTGACATCATTTTTGGACATATTGGACGTCAAACCTGAAACATTTCAAGCAACATTTAGCTACATGCCATAATGAGAGAATTTATCAGATGGTCCATGGATGCTCAGAGTGAAAACAGCAGGTTATCACATTCACCACTGTGGGTTTTATCCTGATCTGATAGGATATCAAGAAATTCAACTTATATGAGAATCAATACCACAACTGGTCATCAAATGTATAGCCATGAGTGATGCTTTCAAATCTCATTACCCAGAGCCCTGAAATGTTGAACATGCTCTTAGTCCAAATCTTATTCTCATTCACTTGCCAAATTATGTGGCTTTTGGACACACTGTAGTTTCTGGTAATGACTGGCGGCTGTTCAAAACAATGTCAGGCAGACTTACAGTGTTCTCCATCTAAAGCTTTCAATTGTCAGTCCTGCTCCTACTCCAAAAGGTAAATCAATGAAAGATTTTTTCCTTTTGTTTAGGATGGCCACAGTACAGAGTAAGGACTTACAACCTTGTATTAATAGTTTCTATCCACATAGTTTTGCCTTTATCATTTAATTTTAGTGTTTACTGCTGGAAGACTTTGCAGCACCTATGGACCATATACAAAGAAAAGTGACAAAGTGTTGCAAATAACGCAAATAACTTTAACCTCCAGTATTGCTTGTATTAATTCTCTGTCTCCTCTGTTTCTTTTGGCGCCGTTCTCTGGATCAAGCTTGAAGAGAAGTATTTTATGTGGCGTTTACATCTAATACAGAATTTAAAAATGTAAGAGTAGATATAACATAAAAGTGTGGCGTTTACTGTTGAATTGTCAATTCTGGGGCTTTTTAGCAGCTTTCTAGGCCATAAGATTTCAATCAGATGAACTACAGTGAAAAATATCAAAATATCTTATGTGTAAATCATAGAATATCTAAATAGGTTGCTTCTGGTTGCCAGAGGAGACCACAGAGGAACCAGGGGAGACAGGGAGAGGAAGGAGTGGACATAGAGGCATGCAAACTCACACTCGCATACACACACGTTAACTTACATGAAACATAAGAGCAGGTTTGCAAACACACACAGACACACAGACACACACACTGCTCTCTCCATCCAACCCCTCCAATGTAGCATGCAGTATTTCAGTGGGAAGGAGACAGACAAGAGCAAATGGACATACTGTAGAAACCGGCCATGACGGAGTTTTGACAGCGGTCCCCCGTATAGTCATTGGGACACCTGATGGAGGGAAAACAAGACACAGAGAGGGCGGGGGGGTTCAAGATACAGAGGGAAGAGAGAGGATAAAACAGGAGGAAAGAGAAGGAGGAGAAGTACACAAAGACAGATAGAAAGGAGGGGGAGAGAGAGGAAGGGAAGGAGGGAGACACAAGAGAGCAGAGAGATGAGGGGTTAGAAACAGCACAATCCACCAACTACAGAGAGAGAGAGATGACCTGCATACCGTGACGTCACCGCCATCAATATGACATCACTGCTACAGTTAAGACATCATCACAGTCATGAGGGTCAAGTGATGGTGGTGCAGGAAGTAGGAGGGGTCAAACGTACAGTTGTTAACCTCTAACCCCTCTCACACACAAACACAGATGCACGCAGGTGCGCACGCACACACGCACACACGCACACACACACACACCTCAAAATAGCCTAATAATAGATTATAAACTCTCATTCACTGCATCCATTTCTGAACCCCTAACCACAACCATGATTAAATAAATAAAGCAAAGTCAAGGAAAACTTTAAAGTACATCTGATTTACAACGGACATACATTACTTTGATGTTCATTATAAAATGTCTGAAGAAACTGTAAAATGGCAGAAAAGGTCAGTTTGTACTCGCATCAGTGTTTGTATTGAAATTGTTTCAGCCATTAAGACTTAATATTTGTGAAGCTTAGTGTTTTTTGCACATGATGTCATCTCTATGTGAAGTGCATGGTACAGGAGGAGAGACACAATGTACATGGGTCACACAAAGCAGAAGCAAAGTAAAAGGAGCAAACACTTTTCTGGTCAGTTCTACTGAATACATATGATGGCTTTATTTCAAAATAAGAGTCTGACAGTCTATAAGAGTGAGTGGATGACCATTACAGGAACAAGATCATTTTACTGACACGTTAGCCTGGAATTGCAGTGTAGCAATGTACAAAGAACAGATCCCAGATTGTGTTTCTGTAAGTTTTTAAGTCTTTCTATCCTTTAATGGTTAAAAAAAAATGCCTAAACCTGCATTAACTGATTCTTCGGGCAAGTGGGAGCAGCACAACAAGCTGATGAGAGCTGTGAGAGTGAACCAAAACAATAAAGTTTCAGGCCATGAATCAATGAGCTTAAAGAAACTGTGATGTTCGGTAAAGATGAGAGGAAACTGCAGAGTCAGGTGATGAATCCCTGTGGGTTTGTCCCCTTTCACATTACACATTTGATCCACTGCTAATGTAAAAAAAACTGATTAGAGAAGCTTTAAAGCAGCTTTAAAATACTTGAAATGAATAATTTGCTAGATGAATTATCTTATTAAAATACAAAAGGTGGATGGGATAAGGAATATGTAAACAAACACACTGTAATATTGGTCTTGTGGATATTTCTGATATACTTATGACTTTATCAAAATGATGCAGTGTGGAGTTTCAGCTGCGGTTAGTATAATAAGTAGTCAGAATGTCTTTGAACGTGCCTTGTAGAGGTCGTTGTATTTTACGGTCAAAGTTGAATGAAGCTGAGATTTTGGGGTGAAAAAATTCCAGCAGGATCAAAGCAGTGTGCCCTGTTTAGTCATGCACATGCAGCAGTTTAGGAGAGTGCTGCTGCATTCTCCATTGAAGGAATCCCTGCTCTGTTTAATGCTGTGTTTGTGTGTTTGTGACCCATCACACACTTCTACCTATAAAAAAGCCTCAAATGAACCCTATAAACTTAAAGTCTTTAATTAGCTCCTGTCAAAACAACCTTCTCATGGATGCAAAAATGGTAAACTCCTAACATGTAACTCTTTTCTACAAATAAAGAAAGATAAAAGAGCATGCGCACACACAAACGCTAACGCTTCACAAACACACACACACACACACACACACACACACGTTTCCACAGTGTGTGAGCATGAAAATGGTTGGAAAAGGTTTTGGCATTTCTTGGGCATAAATAACAGCAGCAGTTTACATGCAGCTGCAGAGTGTGGTGTTTTGTTTCTGGATGGGTGGCGAGCTGTCAGCGATACCACGGGCTGAATATGATTCATATTCTGGCATCAGCCATCAAACTCACAACACTGAAACTAACAAGTAAGACTCCTCAAGGCATCACAGCAACTGGAAAACTGATACAAATACATGGTGCAATTATTGGTATTTTTGGTGGAGGGTACTGATACTGCCATTCTATTAATTCTTATCGGCTCTTTAAATGAAACACTACACGACCTCATTTCAAATAATGTCCTTGAGAAAATAAAAAAATCTTTCTGAGAGTGCTTCAAATCCTGAAATATCTTGAATTGTGTGTTTACAATGGGTGTCGTGGCTTTTACCCAGCCAGGTATAATTGATTTATTCTTTTAGCTGCTATAATTGATCGTAGATCAGCTTTTACTGCAGTCAAATGAAAAATAGGCATGTAATAGAAAATCTGATCCAACTGCAGAGGACATTATACTGTAGATGAATCACAACAATTGATGAACCACAGTGATATGATATTATGGGTGTGGCCCCATTACAGTCATTATAAGATAACAGAAGCTCAGCCCTCGTAATAACCACACTATTTATTACAGCGATTTAGTATCTGGTCAACAAATGTATCCAGTTTAAAATGCAAGGACCTTCGTCTTACCATCATCCCTATACTGTCCATATAACTGACTGGGTATCCTTTTCTCCTCTTTCTCACCACTGAAAAGACAACTTGCATTTTGAATCAATTACAGCAAAAACCCTCGGAAGAGCCCACTCAGCAATTTCCCATAGAGTTATAAATAGAGCAGAGAGAGAGAGAGAGAGGTGGGAGACACTCGGAGCAGAAGCAGCCCTATGCCGACAGAGCTTTTACTGTATATCATTTCTTTTCTCTTTTGCCTCTTCCATCTCTCTCTCTCTCTCTCTCTCTCTCTCTCTCTCTCTCTCTGCTTCTCTCCACCCTTTCTTTATCTGCCTGTGCTTGCTTTCCCTTTTTTTCCCAGCTGCACTGCTCTCAAAGGCCTGAGAACGAGCAGAGAGGAAAAAAGCCAGCACACCTTTTGTTCCAACCATCTGAATGAAAGCAAAGCCTGTGATTCATTTTGGTATATTCATTATACAAAGACTCATCAAATTTAAGAGTAAAAAAAAACACAGACAGCATTATGTCCAAGCATCAATACGAGATTGAACTCATGGCATTTTGTAGATTAGATTAGATTAAATGAACTGTATTGATCCGTGACGGCAAATTTGGCATTTTCATCCTATAGCTGGGAATACAGGGGGCTAATGTTTTCTGCTAACTGCCAGACTAGAGTTTACCAGCATAGCTCAGATGAATCAGAGGAGCTATCTGCAACTCTAAACAGACAACTATAACGCAGGTTGAGAGGATCAGTGAATAAGCAAGACACACTAAGCTTTAACCTGCCAACAGCTCGCCAGGGGGAATGTTTGTATGTACTGATCTCCACTTTAACCTCCACACTGTGTTTTAGCCAGGGTGCCTGCTGTCCTCGACTTTAACCTACAGACTCCATTTTGCAGTACAGCATTACTTTCCCCTTCAGGGAAGAGGAGATTATACGTTTCCATGGGCGGCACAAAAGAGCTTGCAAATACCACCTCAAATTTCAGGGATATTAACAATTATTTCTGCCTGCCAGTGCCATGCAGTGCCCTGATTTGCAGCTGCTTTGCAGATTTGTGAGCGTCTCCGTGTGTGTGTGTGTGAGTGTGGAGGTCTACATATCTCTGAAGTGAACAAGCAGCGCAGACAGTCTACAGACAGCAGTCTTATTTACATCCTGTTATCCACCGGCCCCAACAGACAGGCCAACAAAGGATGACAAAGCTGAGAAGCTACAGTAACTCTCCAGAAACTGCTCTGCTGCTACCTTGCTAGCTTGCCATAGCTTCTTTAAATATGCCCTGTGTTCATATGTATACCAATCCTGCACAGATGGTTGTACGATCCTGCACATTTTGTGCCTGTAAATTTCTATATACGCAGCTCGTGATGTCTGTATGCACCCTCTCCAACAAAGTTTTCTGCTTGTCAGCACCATGAAAAAAAAACCTGATTTATCCTTCAGCAATGACCGGAAGGTATATCAGATGAGAGATAGAGAGAAAGGTGGAGAGAGAGAGAGAGAGTGCAGGGGGAAGCAAGGGGTAGAAATATTGGGAGGGAGGATAGAGAGAGAGAGAGAGAGAAATGGAAATGAAGAAACAAAGCGCAGATCTGGAACAGACACCGAAGGATCTAAGGATGTATTTCTAGGAGATACATCCAATAGTACAGGAAGCATAACAACAAAGCTCTGGATCATGCTTGACTATACACACCATCTGCTTTCCACACTGTCAGGGGAAGAGTTGGTTACACATCTACAAAATGACCCAGAATGTATGTCAAGTTGGAACTGAAAGATTACAACCTCTGGTTTAGAAAAAAAAAACCTCTACATTTCACCAGGTGGAAAACAAAGACTTTTTTTTAACAGCTCAGGTTAAATTAAAACTTTGGTGACAGATACAGTTTGGATTTTAAAACACTGCACTGAGCTCAAAGCTATGCTGTACCATTTCATGTGTGCCAAAGAACAGCAATGATACAAGATCGTTTCTAATATGATACCATTTTCTACCTCTACTATACTATACTATACGTCAGATGCTACAGGCTGGAAGTTGTAGCCACTGTTTCAGTTACATCATACACCAATATGCTGAGAAATATTTACTTATTTTTCACAAAATCAACTATTAATTAGGATGTTATGATGTAAGTTGTTTTTATAGTATTTGCTTGAACTGTAACCTGCAACATTTTCATGTAAATGATGTTTTTTTTGTGTTTTTCTATGTAATAAGTTGATATAACACAACAGTGATTCATCTAATCTCCAGTTCATTAAATTTTTTTGCACTTGCTGTTCTAAACACCTACCAGTCTGGTAGCTCTTTCCTGAGGAAAAATCCTCCCACTCACAGGAAGTGATGCATTTTATGTTTACAGTTTGAAATAAACACAAGAAGAAGAACTGGACAGTTAACATGAGCAGTGAGCACATTAAACCACTCATGGTCTGCGTCAATGCAGAAATAGTTACAGCAGCACTACTGTTATATTTCTCAGATCCAGCTTGCCATGAATGGACCATTACTCTGTCAAGCAGCTTGTCCTGTGTCTTCCCTGTTGGGACAACACAAAACATGGCGACACAAACAGTCTCAGAGAAAAGGAGAAGATGAGGAAAAAAGGATATTTAAAAGACTAATGTTAGTCAGGCCTGAGCTGTGTATGTCTCACTGACGCTTTCCCTATATACCAAAGCCAAGCGCCTGCTGAACATGTTCAGAGTGAAAAAAGACAGATGGGCTGCTGTGTCTGTGTGAGGTGTTCATGTGTTTGTGTGAGCTCCTGAAAACCAAAACTTCAAAGCTGAAAAACAAACATTAAGAAAATGGATTATGTGGATCTGGTAGCTTCTTCCATTATAATGTTACTGTGCAGCAAACTACTGCCAAGTCTTGGACGTTGGAGGTAGTCACAGCACGTGAACGCACCACAGCGCAATATAAAAGCTGTGTCCCAATTCAGCGGCCACATCCTTCGGAGGCTGCATTTGAAGACCCTTGCATCGCGACTAGGCTGTCTCGTTCAGAAGGCTCCTCCCTCAAATGCGGCTGAGACATGTGGCTTTCTTTTCCAGGGCGCCAAAGGATCCATCAGGAGGATCCAACAGGTGGATCCTTCCTGGCCCAACCTATCCCGAGATTCATGGCGCGTCGGTAATGAAAATAATATAGTAGCAAATAACGCCGACGTAGAGTCTAAGTATTGGGTTTCAGCTCAGTTCAACAGCTAATGGGACAACTGTTTAAAAAAAACAAGGGTGTGAAAGAAAGTTATGTGTTGTCATGGTTGCTAGGCGACAGGAGCCGCGCTTTGCAACGCAACGATAAGGTGACGGCTGGTGACGCAAAAGCGAAAATCGTCCGTAGACCAGACCGTCTCATTTCGGTTTTGCCTTCGCAGCAAGGATACGGCCCCTGAATTGGGTCTCAGCTAAAGTGTTAGCTGCACAATCACAGAGAAACCTGCAGCAAGAAGTTTTAGACCAAAAGCAGTAAGCAGTTAGTGAAAAGACAAAGAAGAACAAATTCACTGTACTGTATTCATGTGTTCAGCAGCACCAGAGGGAGACAGCTACACAACAGATGGACAATACATTAAATATGCAATCATCATTCCCGCTTCTGCTCATGCTGAGTAGAACATGTTATATGTTTATCTGACAATAGATAATTGTCTGACGTGAAAAAAATGTAATATAATAGACATCTTTTAACAATTCGTTCCTAAGATCTGGTGTGTGGTTCTGTGATGCCCAGCTGGCATGCAGATTAAAAATGCGGGCTGGACACTGAATTGTTGCTAGTTCAATTCCCCTGCACCAGTTGTGGTTGGGGAGCTGATCTTGTTCACCTCTTAAAACTCCAATAGAAAACACTGAAACTAGGCACTGCCATGCATCTTTGAAGGCTATGTTATCCTCTAATTTTGTCATATTTTACACAGGAAGTCAAAAATGCCTGAAATCAAAGGGAATAAATGATATAACCTCCTGTTGAAATCATTTTCAGTAAACACTGTCAGAGGCTTCAGCTTCATGTCATCCCACCTCTGACAAGCAGTTTTGATATTCATTTAGTTTCGCCCTTGTTGCCCCGCATACTGTCAACTACACAAGTGATGGAGAAGTAAAATAAACCTATGGCAAATAATCCAGGAGGAAACCAGCTGCACTACTGACTTTCACTGTTAACGATCAACAATAATCCACAGTTGTAGTTGAATGAATGTAAATTATTCACGTTGTACCAACTTCTGTAACTTATGTAACAGTTATTATATATTACCAGACTATTAACTAAATGCTACAGATTACGTACAGTTAATACTGTTATTAGATTAGCAACTCTGTCATTATGGTTGCTGACTGACAAGATTAGCTACTAACAGTAGATGAATAAATTGAATAACAAAAAATCAGGACAGTCCAAATCACTGTACATTTTTTAAATATTAAAATCTGTCTTGTCTCCTCTGTCAATTTTGCTTCACTGAACGCCCTCAGCCTGCAAAATGTTTTGTGGTCACATGCCAACAGAGTGACCGACAGCAGAGACAGCAGCTTCTGTACTACGTCAGCGGGACGTCCTGTTCAACTTTTGTTCCTCTGAGCAACACTGTGCTCAGAGACATTTCTTAGCCCCGGGTAAGGAAAAACAGAACTGACTGTCATGTTAACTGTTTGCTAATGTAACTAGTGTATTCTGTCTGCAGGAGCAAAGAGGTCTCAGACCTTTGGATTCCAACATTAAAACCTACCATTGTCTCTGGTGACAAGGACGCTTATAATTTCCATTGGGTCCTATTAGCATATTGCTAACAGGTGAAAGTGATACCACCAGCTTTGCGTCTCATCTAAAATAGTTCGAACTTAAATGAATAAGTAACAAAATACAGAAATTTACAAATGTTTGTTTTGAATATTAGAAATAGATTAAATCTGATTTGATTGATTTACTTTCTGGGGCAAACACAATGAAATTCTTTTAATTTAAAGTCTCCCTCTTACTGAAAGCATCTTCTGAGGTGTCATGACAGGCAAACCTCGCCCGCTGTGAACTACAGGGATCCTCTTGGAGCACGACTCAACATATTTTGAAAGCATGCAGACATAATGTCTGACATAATGACACCTTCCCATTCACTTGAATGGGATAGTGGTCTCAGACTTTTGGACCCCGGTGTATGTGGCTCTGGTACAACCAGGGAGCCGAAGACAAGGTAGTGCAGTGTCACAGTGTATGATACCAGAGAGACAGAGGGAGGGAGACAGAGAGATAGAGGGAGAGAGGGAGGGAGGAGAGACAGTGGGAGTGACCACACAGTGATGACTGAGGGGACGGGGGCTGACTGAGCAACCAACTTACTTGCAGGACAGCTGGTTAATACCATGTATGAAGTAACAGTCTCCTCCATTGACGCAGTAGGTCTTCTCCGAGTCGTTACAGCGCCTCGCATGACTCACACCCGGAGATGGAGTAGTGGTGGTCACTACAAGGAGGACAGACGGACGGACGGACAGACAGACAGAGACAGAAAAGGCTGTCACCTCTTTATCAAAATAATTATTAATAATAATAATAAGTTTTTTTTTTTCAAATTTTATGGCAGCTATAGTAGTAGACATCCTGCCACACCATGCCACAGACCTTTCAAACCTCTTTGGTGAATTTCCAAGAGGTTAGTGCGACAAATCTATCAACTTTTTGGGCAGACATCTGTCATTTTCCAGCTCACGACTGCTGGTTTAGTGAGAGGAAAGATCCAGGTCCAGTTGGATACATCTCCTCCCACACACGCAACACACTTCTTTCTTCTTCCTTTCAAACTTGAAACTTTTATTTACAAGTAATTAAATCAACAGTTATTTTTTCTCTTTTTTGTTTTGCTACCACTGATTTTCTTGTCTGGGTTCTCCCTCAATACATTTCCATATCTTGTAAAATAGTCTGTGATATAAGCCACATAACATGCAACGCAGTTTGACCACAATTGACAAATTAAGCATGTAATTGTATGATCATATTCCTGCATATTTGATATCAAACAGCTTTTATAATAAACACGTTATTCTCTTCTGTTCAAGCCCTTTAATTCTGAAGAAGGGCTCCATAGGTGTGCTGTCAAATCTTAGTAGAAAGGTGAAATTGCTGAATGTAACAGAATAATAGCTCTCATGTTATTGTTAAAATACAGGGAGATCAAATTTTACTAGGCAGAGCAAGAATAGATACCCAGTGGATCTCATTGTAAGAAAGACTGATGAAAGAAACTCCCTATGACAATATGTTTAGGAACCAATGCTTAAAGAACAAGGCATAAAACACATAGATACATAGAAGTCATCTTAATGATTATCATCACTGTTTTGTGTCCATACATATTAATTGATCAGAAAAATTATGTTAGATAGATAGATAGATAGATAGATAGATAGATAGATAGATAGATAGATAGATAGATAGATAGATGTGTCATTTCTCACAGATCTGCACGCTGATTATACTCGTGGCGTTTTCTTGTCCTAGTGAGTTTTCAGCCACACAGGTGTAGTTGCCAGAGTCTTCCACACGGACACGACTGATCTGCACCTTTGAGTTTTTTCTTCAGTGAAAGGGAGAGAGAGAGAGAGAGGGGTAGACACAGACACAGAGGAGAGGAAAAGCAAGAGGGTGATACAGAGCAGATAAAAAGACACTGTCAGTTACTGTTTTTTCAATAAACCAGCAGAGTCATCTCTGACTGGACAAGAAATTAAATTTTTATTTCCAGCCCAGATAAGCAAGAAACAATTGATTGTTATATACAAATGTTTATTGTGATTGGCCAGCAAAACTAAGTAATAACAGGATTATAAAGACTGATTATAAGAAAATGGAACTGTAACCATTAAAAACTGAGAAAACACAAACCACAGACATTTAAAAGACGGAGGATAGATATTTAAAAATCTGCAACAATAACCGGTGTTGTTAATTTTGTAGCCCCATACAGTGTGATACATAATTTTGAACATTTTCAGCACGTCAGTACATTAAATAGTTGATTGCAAGCTTCAAACAAGTAAAAGGTGAGCTTTGGGTTGATATCTGTGCAATGTAACTCATACAACAAATATAGTACAACACCTGTGTGAACAGACAGTACAGAAGGAAAGCCAGTCAGCTTTCACTGTGCACATTAAAGGAAAATTTGTGCTCTTTAAGAACAGTGTTAACTCTATATTTCTAATATGAATATCAGGTCATCATGTTATATCATGTTAAAAAGTTGCTTATTTACACATCTAGCAAACACTTGTCAGCATGAGCATTCATTTGGAGTTGTGTTTGTGGCCCCTGGCTCTTTAGCTGCTAAAAGCTGCTTTATGTTCATTAGCTAACATTAGTTGCTAAGGTGAGTTTTAAGAGATCTTCAGCTGATAACAGCAGCTGCTGCAGCTGAAACGACACTGTGAGAGCAGTGAGACTGAACCAAAACAGCAAAGTGGCTGTGAAACCAAAACAACGAGCTAAGAGGCACTAACATGTTCCATAGAGCTTTGTTACTACAAGCAAACTCTTTTACGCAGAGTGCTGCAGGGGTGACATTTTTGTAGGCCAACTTGGAAGTTAGCATCGCACTGGATTTTTACACTGTCTTTTGGATTATTGCAGAAAATAAGCTCTGTGACTCATTCCTGCAGCACTGTATTACAGGAGGTCATTTGATTAATTGTTAATATAATACATTGATAATGTAGCTTTAACTTGTAGGTTTACTCATTGTAGATCTATGGAAGTTGGGGAAACAGGAAGTAAAAGTCCTGTTTTCTAACAGAGGCCACAGTTTGGGTACAGAGTGAAGTTTCCCACTGTCACCACAACAGAGCTGCACAACAGGAACCACTGCAGCACTTGTGAGAAGAAGCTCATTTGTCTGGATTTTTTACATTTTGAAACATATGGTCCATGCAACTGTGTAGGCTGCATACTAAGGGTAATACCCAGTCTGATAGACTCACTTGTTGGTCTTTATCTTGAGGTCTCTGCCTTTCTGAAGCTCGTGTCCATCTTTGTACCAGCGGAAGGAAGGGCTGGGATTCCCCGATGCCTCACACTTCAAGTACAGCTTGTCCCCTTCCATCAGTGACTGGCCTCGCATCAGCCGAAGCTTAGGAGCAGAGGCTGGACAGAGAGAGAGACAGAGAAAGACAGACAGATTGAGAGAGAGAGATACAGACCGACAGAGGGGAAGTGCGAGAAAGAGAGAGCGAGAGAGGAAAGGAGTAGAGAAAGAAAATAAAAGCTTGCATTATTGAAATTAACTTAAACATTCAGTTAATCTATCCATTTAAGTGTGTGTGTATGTGTGTGTCTGTGTGTGTCTGTGTGTGTGTTGCCGATAAAAATGTGAGGGTTCAGATGTCAGGGGTCAGAACCTGAGGCACCAGGTCAAAGTTCACATGAGAGATAGCTAAAGAACGAAGGAAAATCAATAATGTTTGACACAACACACACACACACACACACACACACACACACACACACAGACACACATAGGAAAAGCACTTGGGTCAGGTCTGAATCCTGAAAAGCAAAGACAAACTGAAAGCTTACAGAGAAAAAAATCTTGCCTCAAAAACTCTCTGCAGTAGATTTTCACTAAGGAGCAATGTTTGTGTGTGTGTGTGTGTGTGTGTTTACGTATGTGTGTGTGCGCGCATGTGCTTCATCAGTCTCAGGAGAGTTTCGCTCTCTCTCTTCTCTCCTTAAAAACTACAACAGACTGCATCACTGACATCAGCGTAGGCAACACACAGAGAAGCTAAAGCAAAGAGACAACTCAGCACCATCTAGCACCATTTACACACACACACACACACACACACACACACACAAACACAATTTTTACACGTATGTCTATGTACAAAATGTGGGCCTAACACACCCACATGGGCCTGCATACAAACACACAGAGTGTTGTAGTGATAGGATACGCTTGATCAGCTACATGGCGATTGTTGTACAGGCTCCTCACAGCACTGCTGCAGCTTCCATTTCCTCCTCATATATGTGCAGTAGATACACCAGAAGTCGGGCTTCATGCATTTATATAAGACACTGTAGGTCTGTGTGCCTGTGTATGTCATCCTGAAAGTTGTGGGCTGCCAGTCCCATGAAAAACTCATAACTCCAATTTCAGTTCTGTATTAGATTTAGCTGGAGAACTTCATGGTTGTCCAAGACTTCCTCTCATACTGTACAGAACATACAAGACATTTATGATTACACAGCAAGAGGTGATTGTGATGAATGGTCTAAGTACTAAGCAGCATTATTTTTTTAAGTTTCACAGAGTGACAGGAAACATCGGGTACAGGGACATGGGGATGACATGCTGCAAACATTCATATCCAGACATGAACTGAGAACATTTTCAGTTTTACATCTTAGTCCGCTGATTTTAGATCTCTGAATTACTGCCAACATTTAAGATGTTTTCAGCAGTTCAAAAAGGTCTGGTGTTGTCGTCATTAATGGCTGTTTTCCTGGTTGGAAATACAACCAACCAATCAGACTTCGATAGGTGGGAATTGCACTTCTACTTCCTGGGCCAGAGCCACAAAAATGGCAGCAAATGATGACAAGTACAAGTGACCCATATAGAAATGTAATTTATGACAAGTACTATGTCCCTCTATCAAGAGTGATGTTGCCCTATACTTCACCTAAGTATAACATGTTGCGAGCGTATATGTTAATGATACATATTTAATCTATATATGCAAGTTTATTAAACAACATACATATATAAATTCTATATGCTTATATACAGTATGTTTTTCTCATTAATTTTAATATCTATCTTCCCATGCTGGGACTTTGGACCCTACTGTATATAATATTAACATACATTGACAGGCTTTGGGATGAATATATATATTTATATAACCTATGATTACATAAGCATTCATACATAAACATACATATTTGTATGGGCTAGACATATACAGTATGTCAATATATGAAATTGTTCAAATTTCCAGTAGGCTTCATATATAATTTTTTACATTCTGTATATGTTTTTATTTTATAGGTACATATATTTCATATATTGAAATTAAATGTCTGTACATATTACATTTGCATATGGGGACATGGGTGTAGCCATACAGGTCACTGTGTGTCAAAGTAACTACTCTTACTGTATGTATGTTTGGACATGACAAATGATCAATTATCTGCTCTCTGTACTGACAAAAAGTGAAGGCTAGTTGGACCCACCGCCACAGTCTCAGTGACTATTGAAAAAGATTTTCTTAAAGTAAAAGTAACGTGTTGAGAGGGAACCAATGGGCTTGGAGCGAAGTCCCACAGACAGAGTGCAACAGTCAGCAAATTACACAAGTGGAAGTCAGTGGTGATAAAAAAAATACAAACTCTCGGTGGAATGAAAAAGTAGAACCCCCCATGAAGTACCCTCCAAACGGCTTGCAGTTATGTAAGTAGGATTTAGGTATGATTTTTAGACTTGCAACAGAACAAGCAGCACATCCTTAAATCCATTTCTCACATTTTCTGAGATTTAGTCTTGTCACAGACTCGACACACACTGTTGATGTATAATTCCACGTCACACCAAAGTAAATCATCTCAACATCACCAGATGCGCTCTCTCTCTCTCTCTCGCTCGCTCTCTCTCTCCATGGCTCCTGGCTTATAATGAATTATACTGAAGAATAGAGTGTCACTGTCATCATATATTTTTTGGAATAATTTGCCTGCTATTTTGGTATTTTCTTGAATGAGACTCCATATGCCATAGACTCAGTTAGGACTGGAGCCTCTGCTGAACCTTTACTCGACTACGCCAGACTTGATTTCGGCTCGTGTTGACGGATGAAACCGAACAAAGAGAAACGTGAGAGCACTTTTTCTTCCAGCCCTGAAGCAGACAGGTTCTGAATTCACAATGTTACACTTTGGAGCCAATCATAATTCACTTGCTGATGCACTTACATCCAAGTTACATTCATGACTTTAAAGCTGCACTAACCGTTACTTTTACATTAATAATGAATCAAATGACGTGTCGGACCGCTTCTGTCACTCTCTGAAAACAACAATCCAACGTTCACAGCCCTTCCTCCATGATTGGCCAGTTGTGTGGAGGTGAAAACTTCTCTCTCTAACTCTCTTTCTCATTTCTTGTGTCATGTTCACAACACAATGCAACACTCTGATGCCAGGAGAGATTGTATGGAAAGCGTGTGGCCTGCCTTCGAGTGTGGCCGTTCAGAAATGCTATAAACACTGCCTTTCAATGCAGGTCAGAAACCACGTCGTACAAACTAGCAGCCCTTAAACTCCTGTTTTATACTCCTGTAATTTGCCACACCAGGTGGAGCATCCAGGAAACACATCATATATGATAGCTCACATATAGTAAATCCAATGTGGCATGAATGCAACATTAAACCTTTGAAGCTGAGCTTTATTCCAGAGGACAGAGCTAGCAGGAAGTCATTACAGGAAACATTCACAGTGTAACTCACATTTAAAACAAGAAGGAGTTACCAGGACCCTTTATTATTTTGGAAAAAATGTGTAAAAACTCATCAATTTACTCTTTAATCCAGTCATGACAAATTGTTTTCTATACGACAGTGAGCAGCCTGCCCCGCTGTTTTCACCCTGCATTTTGCTTTGGATATTTTGCAGGAGACAATGAGCAAATCATGGAAACTGTAATCTAATAACAATGTACCATGTGTGGAAAAGAGATGAGATTTCATTGTGGGAGGGGCGACTTTAGGCCAATTCCAGCAGTACGGATTTGACATTTAGACTTACAATGACAAAATACCTCTGAGAATAATAATCTTTGTTTGTGTTGTGCTTTTCAAAAGCAAGTTACAAAGTGCTTCACAGTCAGTAAATACATTAGAAATAATCAACAGTAAATTAACTAGAAATGCCACCAAACAAAAGAAAGAAAATACAGCAAGGGGACACAAATAACACGGCAGCATCAAGTATGAACATGAAACTCTTGCAGATACTGATTTTGTCTACAACACTCCAACATCACTGGTAAAACACCCATCATCTCAAACCCTGAATGAGTCAGGCTGAACTACAGACTCACTCTACACAAACACTACACTACAGTTGTTAACATATTTGTATCATTTCACTGTGGCAAGGCAGCACAATAAAAAAATAACAGAGAGTGTGATAGCTGTGACTTCTCCAAAACAGGGAGTTCATTTAAAATATGTGTGGGAGAAAGAGAGTGAGGTGTTAAAATGAAATTTAGGTCTCTGCAGATTGGGATATTTTTTGAAAGCTTGGCATAACACACACACGAGTAGGAGGTTAAGACACACAGGAGGAGAAGGAGAGGACAGCCAGTTTGTCCATACATCCAGTGTTAAATAACAGTCAATCCTTCTGTCAATCTATTCATCAATCCCTCCAAACTACCTCAAGTGATTAACTGAATCACATTTTCTGGAGCAGTGCACCGCTCGTCTTCCTCAGCGCTGTTCACATTGTGTGGCCTGAGCTGTGAATGATGTCAACCTTACAGGTTTATTGCGGCATTTTGGGGAAATACTCTTATTCACTTGCTGGCTGAGAGTCAATCGATACCACACTCATGTCTGGGCAGTGAGTACACAGCTAAAGCCGATCTTCTATTAGCCTAGCTTAGCATAAGGACTAGAAGCAAGAGGGAACAGCTTGGCTCAGTACAAAGTTAAAAAGATTCTCCTATCAACACTAAATCTCATTACACATTACATATTTTAACAGGTGCAACACATAAACAAGCAAGAACATGAATAAGCATATTCCCAAAAATGTCAAACTACTCCTTTAAAGGCATAAAATCCTCCCTCAGGTCCTCTTCAGCTGCATCAGTGTGTGATTATCACCATATTTTATGATTAAGTGTTGAAAGGTTCTGTTATATTCTGCAGCACTATGGATTCAGCTAATTTCCTTTAGATAATTCCCAAACAAACTCTCTGCACTAAGAGGTTGCATTTTACATGGAAGTGGAGGGACTGATGGTAATAACATAATAAGAGCAGGGGAGCTACATTTTTTTCCATTTAAGAGGAAACAAGAGAAAATTGTTGGACTTCTTTCCTCATGATATACAGTAGTTCTTCCTGTAT